AACACGGTGACCTTCTGCGAGTTGTCGTCAAAGGCACCGACCAGGTCGGCGGCCTTGAGCGCGGCGACCAGGGTGGAGAAGTCCTCGTTGCCCGTGGCGATGCTGACGATGGAATCCGTGCTGTTCTGGTAGATGCACTCGTCGCTTCCCTGCTTGAAGTCACCGTCGGCGGGCACGACGGGCACGACGGGGATCGTCGCGTTGGCGTCTCCGGCCTCCGTGGCGTTGTCCACGATCGGCATGACGGCGGTTCCCTCCTCCAGGGCGGGGTCGGATGGCATGGTGGCGGTTCCCTCCTCCAGGGCGGGGTCGGATGGCATGGCCGCGGTTCCCTCCTCCAGGGCGGGGTCGGACGGCATGGCCGCGGTTCCCTCCTCGGTGGCAATTTCCTGGGCCTCCTCGGCGACCGTCTCGGCTCCCTGCACCGCGTCGATGGCCTGGTCAGCAGGTCCCACGGCAAACTCGCCGATGTCCTGGGCATCCTCCCTCGTCTGCAGCAGACTCCTCCTTCCGTCGTCGCTGACGGGGGCCTCTGGCTCGGTGTCGTTGGTGGCGGGGGCCGTGTCGTTGGTGGCGGGGGCTGCCTCGGTGTCGTTGCTGGCGCCGGCGAGGGCGTCGAGCGCGACCTGAGGAATCAACACGGCGTCGATGATCTGGACCACGCCGTTGCACGCGTACACGTTGGGCGTGGTGATGGTGGCGTTGGATCCGGCCGCAGCGATCGTACCGTCGGCTCCCTCGGTCAAGCTGGTTCCCTCCAAGGTGGGAATCTCGGTCCCCGACGCAATGGGGGCCGGGAACACCTTGCCGGAGACGTGGTACTTGAGGACCTCCGTCAGCAGCTCCTTGTTGGCCAACACGTCCTCGGGCTTGAGGCCGGTGGCGGTGAAGAACTTCTCGAACGCCTCGTTGGTCGGGGCGAACACGGTGACCTTCTGCGAGTTGTCGTCAAAGGCACCGACCAGGTCGGCGGCCTTGAGCGCGGCGACCAGGGTGGAGAAGTCCTCGTTGCCCGTGGCGATGCTGACGATGGAATCCGTGCTGTTCTGGTAGATGCACTCGTCGCTTCCCTGCTTGAAGTCACCGGCGTCGTCCAGGAGCGTTCTCGTGGCGGCGTGCCCCAATGGCACCGCCGTCACCACGACCAGCAAGGCCGCGATCAACGCAATGCTCGTTCTCCTCATCATCCCTTCCGCAATGTCGATCGTTTGGACAATCAACTCAAAAGTTCACGTTCACGTTCACGTTCTCTCTCTCTCTCTCTTCCTCGGCGAGCGGCGCCAAAGACAGACCTTGTTTTGTGCTTCGCTCCTGCTCCTCCTCGATGAGGCGTTACAACCTGGTCACCAGATCATGCCAGCCGTCAATTTTTGCCTCGAATATCTTTCCCTTTTCGCGTAGAAATCGCGCTTGGGGCTTCGAGGGGTGTCCGTCATGGGGAGGAGAGAGAGGTTTTTCAGGTCCAGGAGAGTGGAGACGAAAAAGAAGCAAGGGGACATCGACAATCGGCATCGGGCTTGCTTGGTCGTAATCCATTCTGTTTTTTTTTTTGCAAGGCGATCAACTTGCCCTTGTGGTTCCCCGCCCTTGGTCTGTTGCAGGCGAAGACGCCAGGCGGACCCTCGCCAACCCGGCGTGCTGCTGGGATCGACTCGAAGAGGAAGGAAGACTCTGCTTTCCTTCTCTCTCTCTCTCTCTCTCTCATGGTCAGAGTCAGAGTCACAGTGGGCACGTGTTTCTCCACGTAGGGCTTTACCATCTTCGCAAAATCCTTGTTTTGGACGAACGCATTGAACTTGGCCAACCGCACGCCGTGAAGGATGACGATCGCGAGCTTCTCGCTCACCTTGGCGACCGTCGTCCTCGACTCGTCGCAGATCGCCGCCCTGTTCTTCGCGTCCTCGTCGAAGAGCTTCGTCCACGGCTCGTAGCCCTTCTTCAGGTGCACCTCCAAGTTCACCGTGCAGAGAGAGTCTTCCTCTCTCTGTCGTTGTCGTTGTTGTTATTGTGATGATGATGGTGGTGGTGGTGGAAGAAAAGAAAAGGAAAGGAGAGGAGAGGAGAGAAGAGACAGCAAAGCGTGTCAATAAAAAGAGGACGAAACCTTTTCCCAGAAGACCCTGCTACTGCAGCGCGTGTGTGTGCCTGTGCCTCTGTTTGCTCCCATCCCCACAACCCACGCCCCCTTACCTTGTCCTGGACATTGCCCAAGACGAAGGCCGCAACCTGGCAGAGCACGCCGAGGAGGATCCTCCTGCTGAAGTCTCTCAGGGCACCTCCCCCCTTCTTCCCAGCCTTCTTGCCCTCCTCCACCACCTTGTCCCTCCCTCCTCTTTCACAGCCTGTCCATCGCGAAAAAAGATCGAAACGAACCCCCCAGGGGCTGCTGTCTTGTCTGTAACGCTCGCTCGCCTCGCCGGTTGGGTTGGAGTAGGGAGGAGAGAGGAGGAAGGGGTCACGGGCGCGCGGACGAAAGCGTCTTGACACGTTTCGGTAGACACCTCGCTCGACTCGTGTTTTGTTTGGCGTCTCGACCAGAAAAGAAAACGCACGCAGAACCGGGAAGAGAGAGGAGAGAGATCGAGGCAGAGATGGCGAGGTCGAAGTCGTCCAAGTCGAAGAAGAAGGGGAAGCCAAAGTCCAAGAGTGCGGCCAAACCCGGGAGGCAATGGCCCGCGGAAGGCCCGGCGTCGACGCCGCCTTTTCGCGACGGCGAGGGACACGGGGAGCAGGCTGCTTCGTCGGCGCGCGCCGGCGTGGCCACGCCGGAGGAGCTGGAGTTGTTCGTGTTTCACGTGGAGGACAAGTTCGGCAAAGTGGCTGGGGCGGTGGCCAGGGTGTTGGCCGCGAGAGGGAATGCGACCCTCGAGGAGATCGCGGAGAACGCGAGGGACGAGGCCGGGGGGAAGATCTGCGAGGAGGGCGTGAAGCATACCCTCTGGATACTCACCAAGCTGAACGTGGTTCGGACCTACCTGTGCACGAGGCTGGTGGTCCGGGAGGAGGGTCAGACCGCCGAGCAGGGGAGATTGCCCGCCAGGCCCCGCGGGGAGCTCTCGGAGCCGGTGCTCGTGGAGGAGAAGCACTTCATCTACATGCTGGACACGGACTACGCGTTCGTGCTGACGAGCTTCCCGACCTTGATGCTCGAGATAAAGTCCTCCGACTTGGGCAAGGTCGGGGAGTACGTCCTGGAGACCCTGATCGTCCACGGCAGGCTGAGCAGAAGCGAAGCGGTCGACGTGAGCAAGGGGCTCTGCGATGAAGCGGAGCCCCAGTTAGGCTTCGGCAAGGACGACTTTGGCGACGTGTTCGACAAGCTGGTGACGAGGCGTTACGTGGAGAGGGTGCCCTCGGCTCAGCTCCCCCCGCCGTGGGAGCTGAGGTCCGTCAAGCAGAGCATGAAGCGGGGGCACAAGGGCCTCGCGGAGGTGGTCCCGGAGAGGAAGGAGCAGTGGTCCAAGGCCACGGCGGCTTACGACGAGATGTTCGAGGAGAAGTTCGAGCTCGACTTTGGGGAGCGCAAGGAGCCCAGCGTGCTGTGGAGGGTCAACGCCCAGGAGTTCCACGATCGCTTCAAGGAGGATTACTCCGTGGGGTGGGCCGAGGAGCAATACGGCCACGACGACGAAGACGACGACGAAGAGAAGAAGAAGAAGAAGAAGAAGAGGAAGAAGGAGAAGGAGCGACTCAGTTTCAGGGACGAGATCTGGGGATCTACGCGGGACGTGGCCGCCTTCCGGGGTCTGATCCTGGCCTACAGGCGGAGGAGGCACGCCGCGGGGGGCTGGGGCATTTGGTGGGACGGCCCTTGCCAGTTTTCCCTGAACGAAGTCTGCCAGGCGCTCTGGCAGGCGCTCCGTCGCGAGGAGGAGGAGGAGTCGTTGGCCCTGCCGGACAGAGCCACGGTCGAGGGCGGCCTGGGCCGCCTGTGCGGGCACTCGTGGGGGTTCCTCCGCAAGGTCGCGGGCCGCTACTCGTTCGGCTTCCAAGGCTTTTGGTCCGAGCTGCAGCTCGCCCACGCCGAGGCCCTGGTCGAGCAAAAGCTCGGTCAGGTGCAGACGGAGGGGAAGAGCCTCGGCCCGCTGCCCAGGAGGATCTTCCGGCTGCTCAGGGTCGAGTGCCCCACGTCCGGCCCCTTGTCGTCCAAGGAGATCCAGCCTCTGGTCTTCGCGTCCATCAAGGGGGTCCGGGCCGCCCTGGTCCAGCTCTTCTTCGCGGGCTTCGTCCAACAGGCGGGGCGAGAGGGCGGTGGAGCCTCCGCCAAGGGCGCCAAGTGCCACTGGCACGTGGACGAGGCCCTCGTGGCGAGGGCCTGCCGGGCGAACATGGCCGAAACCGTGCGCCTCGTGTACGGCCGGAGGAGGAGCGAGCTCCGCGAGTACCAGGACGTCCTGGAAGCGGTGCAGCGCATCACAGATCTGAGCGACGACCCGGCGGTGAAGCTGAGGGCTTTTCAGGAGTACATCACGATTGGGGACAACCGCGACAGGTTCGGGCGCATCAGGGAATTGGACAAGTACCTCCAGGACTCCTTCAACGACATCCTCGTGGTCGCCAACGTGTTCTTCGACAGCGAGCTCAGCCGCAAGCCCCGAGGTGCGGACGAGGACCAGGACGTGGACGAGGGGGAGGAGGCGGACCAAGAACAGTCACGAGAAGATCATCAAAGATCAACAAAGATCAAAGTAAAGTTGTAACGGCCAAGGCCTCCCTCAAATGACGTCGCAACGTCGGACGTGGGACCCAGTATTCGTCAGTCTCCTCTTCTTCGTCGGCCTCGGCGGCAACCAGCGGCTGAAGTATTCCAGGAGGTAACTCGAACTCATCGCTTTCTCTCTCTCTCTCTGGTCGTGGTCTTCTCGTCGCCGTACTCGTCGGCCGCGGCTTTGGCGTTACGGCCGGCGGCTCTTTCTCTCTCGACCGTCTAACTAACGTCTCTCACCGAACCTTTGTCTCACGGAGCAAGAGGAGAGGCGACTGTTGTTTCGCCGCGGTGACACCGCATGTGGGGCTCGAACCCACGACCACCAGATAACTGGACTTTTTCGAGAGTAGATCCCCGTACTAAGAGTAAAAGTCTGGCGCTCTACCAAACTACATAGATCGGACGAAATTCGCATGTCAGTGGGAGATTCAACGTCGGGTGGCGAGGTTTTTCTTCCTGAGACGTACCTGAGCTAACGCGGTTTTTTAGTGTACCACCAAAGTTACACTTAAACAAACATGATGAACGACAATTTCTTGAATATATAGAGATGGACCCCCCCGTCGTCGTCGCCGTGCCCTATCCACAAGCCGAGGGGGGGCTCCTGTGAGCCACAAGCGGGACGAGGAGGAGGGCGACGAACCCCGCATCCACCGGAGCGCGAGCGAAGGCGTCTGGGATTTTGGACACCCGCACGCACAGAGGAGCCGCGCCGCGCCGCGTAGCAGCAGCAGCAGCATCTGCACTCCCACAATCCGCGTCCCACAAAACAACAAGACAAGAAGACAGGAGGAACTGGCAAGGTAATCGCTCACACGATGGCTGGTGGTGCTGGCTCTGCGCCACTGGCGAGGAAGGACGCGGCGGTCACGCGAATCGGCGGGCCGAGGCTCGCGCAGTCGAGGCTGCGCCTCAGAGCCCCGCGGAGGCTGAGGAGCCGCTCCTCGGCGCTCGGCGTGCAGGAGCTCCTCCTGCTCGCCCTCGTGGAGGAGGCGGCGTCTGCGGACGCCCTGCCTTCGTCCTCGGCGGACGCTGTCGCCACCGCGCTGAGCGACCCGGCCCTCGCCGACGCCCTGCCTTCCTCCTCGGCGGACGCTGTCGCCACCGCGCTGAGCGACCCGGCCCTCGCCGACGCCCTGCCTTCCTCCTCGGCGGACGCTGTCGCCACCGCGCTGAGCGACCCGGCCCTCGCCGACGCCCTGCCTTCCTCCCTGCCTTCCTCCCTGCCTTCCTCCCCGGACTTGGGGACGTTCGCGGGAGACGCGGGCTCGTACTGGGCCTCCCTCGGCCTCGTCGTCCTGACGGCCCCGGGGCTGTGGTCCCTCGTCAAGCGGGCGCCCAAGGCCTCCGTGAAGAGCATGACGTTCCAGGTCCCCGGCCCCGCGCAGGGGGGGGGGCTGGACGAGGTCGCGAGCGTCGTGGCGACCTACTTCACCAAGTACAACTACAAGATCGCGGAGACGGGCGAGGTCATCACCTTCCAGGGCGTGTACGAGGCCAACCGGGGCCAGGGGATTGCGCTGGCGTTCTACGTGTTCCTCGGCCTCGCCTCCATCGCCCTCGTGCTCTCCACGATCTACCCCAGCGTGGGCAGCTGGTGGTACACCATGCTGCTCCTCACCCCGGGGTCCTACGCGTACTACATGAGCAACGGGACGAGGACCGAGGAGGCCAAGGTCAAGATGGTGACGAGCGACGACGACAAGTGGACCGACGTCATCCTGCAGTGCGACAAGGAGGAGATCGAGAGGTTCGCCAAGGAGACCGGGTTCGTCGAGAAGGGGAAGGTCTACGTCAAGGGGATCCTGGAGGACACGCCCCTGGTGCAGAGCGCCGCTGCCGCCAAGGGCTTTGGGAAGAAGGAGAAGAAGAAGGAGTCCGTCGAGGCGAACTCGGATTGAGTTCTCTGAGCTCGAGGCGGGCTCCCTCCCCAAGAAGAAGAAGAAGAAGAAGAAGAAGAAAAATTTTAGTATATGGATTACACATTAGATCAAAAAGAAAGAAAGGCTGCTGCTGCTGCTGCTGCTGCTGCTCTATCCTCCTCCTCCTCCTCCCTAACCTAACCCTCCTCCTCCTCCTCCTCCTCCTGCTTCTCCTGCTGCTTCTCCTGCTCCTCCTTTTGGGCGAGGAGGCCCTCGGGGAGGTGCCTGTACCGGAACAGGTACCCGTCTCCGAGGGTCGCGATGACGTCCTCGTGGTCATCGGACACGGCGCAGCTCGTGACCTGCTCCCTCACGCGGTGGGGCTCGAGCTTGGCCACGCAGTCCGACTCCCCAGTCTCGAAGACCAAGACCTGGCCGCTGCTGTTCCCCACGGTGAAGTACATGCCGTCCCCGGTGACATCCAGGTCGGAGTAGCACTTGACCGAGCCGGGGACCCTCCAGGCCTTGATCCTGCTGCCGCCGTCCGCGGGGTCCTCGGCGCCGGGAGCCTGCCACAGGAAGATCCTCCCGTCCACGGACTTGGTCATCGCGCGGAGCCCCCCGTCCCCTCCCACGAAAGTCACCGAGTCGACTTGGTCCTTGTGGTCGACGCCCTCCACCGCGAGCTTCTCGAAGCTGCCCGCCGCCTTCTTCTCCACCACCCTCTCCTCGTCGCCGCCGTGGGGTCCGACGAACCACCTGTACAGGACTCCGCCCGCCGACCCGGTCAGGAACCAGGCCCCATCCGGGCTCCATGCGATGGACGAGGTCTGCGCGCCAACCTTGTAGGTGCAAAGGCACCTCTCCTCGTAGGTGCTCCAGAGCTTGACGGTCCCGTCGCGGGAGAGGGAGAGGAGGCGGCCCGGGCACGACGCGGACGTCGCCAGCTGGAAGACCTCGCGCTTGTGGCCCACCAGCTTCCGCGTCACGGCCGCCTCCACCACGCTTATCACGAGGATCTCCCCGTCGCTGGTTCCCACCACGACGTGGTCGTCCCCCCTCGGGTGGTTGGTCTGGCCCCGCGCGTCCGTCCAGGCGCACGAGGTCAGCTCCGCCCCCGCGCCCCCGTCCTCCCCCTGGTGAACGTAGTGCACCACGAGACCCATGTACTCCCCGAAGTGCCTCCCGTCGTACACCGTGCACTGGTTCCCGCCCACGGTCGCGAAGAGGTTCGCCGAGGACTCGAGGGGGTCGGCCTCCCGCGAGAAGGGAGCGCCCGTCCTGTTGTAAGCGACCTTCCGGATCACCCTGTTGTGGCTCTCCCTCAGCACGGTCCGCACCACCATCTTGCTTGTGGGACCCGCAGGAGCACCGCCCCCCTCTCTCCCCTCCACCACCCCGGCATCCTCCAAAGCCGTCTTCGCCTTCTTCCCACTCGCCTTGGCGCCACCCCGCACTCCCGCCAACCCCACGTCAACCCCGTCACGCTTCACGGACACCATCCTCTCGATCGAGCCTCCTCCTTCGCACAAATAAAAAGTTCCCGAGAAGAGAAGAGAGGAAACCAACACAACACACACACACACACAAACACACACACAAACGAGTGTCGTTACGTCTTGCTGTTTGATGCCCAACACCAACACCAACACCAAAGCCAGTTCCCTTTTCCTTTTGCTCTCCCTCTGACGTGCTGGCGGCTGGGGACCAAGATGCCGCAACTCGCCTCGCACTTTTCGCACCGACCGAGTCCTTCTGTCACACACAACACACACCTCGCGCTCGTTCCGTTCCGTTCCGTTCGTCTCTCTCTCTCTCTCTCTCTCTCTCTCTCGAAAGGCGAAGAGAAAACCAAACCAAATCTTCCCGCCAAAAAAAAACGCAAGGCAGAAGGGGAGGAGTTGTTCGCACAGGGGAAGGAAGCAACCCTGAAGGCGTGCTGGAACTGTAGTGGCTCGTCCGGTTATTTTCTTTTCTTTTTTTTCTTCTTCTTCTTGGAGCTTGAAGGTGTGATCAAGGGGAGGGAGGATGGCGACGGGGTACGAGGAGAGGGCGGGGAGGAAGAGGGAGATGGACCTGACTTCGTGCTCGAGGGAAGGGGAGGGGAGGGAGGTGCACTGGCTGCCTTGCGGGATAGACTACGACGGGGAAGCGAAAGGAATGGAGGAACACTTCAGAAGCTCGGTGGTGACGACGAAGGAGGGAACCAAGGAGGCGTACCTGAGGGGGAGGCACCTCAAGGGCACGGAGCTCCCTTTGCCGCAAGGCTATTCTGCTGTCGTGCTGGAGAAGCGCCACGAGGGGGGAGACTTTCAGGAAGGGAGCAAGAGCTCGTGGGAGGCCGTGGGAGGCTCTCCCTGCATCACCTACTGGAATCACACGACCAACCCGAGCGAGACCGACGCCCAAAGGAGGGCCCTGGAATTTCTGGACATGAACGAGGCCCTGAACGGCGAATAAGACCGTGTAATAACACGCGGACTCGTCCCAATCCTTGCGAAGGCACTAACCACACCTGCCGCCGCGCTTTTCCTCCGCGTACTACGTACGTTCTGGCTCAGCAGTAGCCCGCTGAAGAGGATGGAGCCGATCGTGGGGCAACCCAAGCCAAGACTGGGGGCTGGGATGGTGGAGCTCGCTGCGCCTCCGTCCACGGTGCTGCACACTGACGCCGAGATGGCAATGGATCGAGAGGACAGAGGGAGGGATCTCGTTTGTTTCTCTCTCGTCTCGTGCTCGTCCTCCTCGTTCGCCCTCGTGCTCGGCCGTTATGATTCAACGTAAACACGAAGAGGAAGAGAACAAAGGGGGGTCGCTTCAAGAGGGAGAGAGAGGGAGGTGAAAGAGTGAGAGAGGAGAGTGAGAGGGGGAAGCGTCATCTCTTGCTCTTTCGAAAGAGACGCTCTGATGTTGCCAACATCACGTTGGTGATGCTCCAACGAAAGAGCAACAGACAGACAAGAGCAACAACATCATGATTCATGAAGGAGAGAGAGAGAGAGAGAGACAGAGAAAGAGAAAGAGAAAGAGACTTGAAGGGATCTGATCTCGCGGGTTGCGTTCCAGCGTTCCCCCCCCAAAAGTTGAAGAAGATCCCCACCTTGTTTCCCCCAAAGATTTCCCTCCCAAGGCTTAAAGATTTCCGAAACCGTTGTGACCGAAAAGTTTCGGTCAGCGAGAGAGAGAGAGACTTTGACACTTGAAACACTTGACACTCTCGGGCATTGGAGAGGAAGGTTGAGAGAGAGAGAGAGAGAGAGAGAGGCGTAGGTGGGAATGGCACCTCCTAGAACAGCGGCAGGGCACGCCGCGGAGAGGCTGAGGGTAAGACTGACAGACTGACTGACTGTGCGAGGGAGAAACCAGAAAGCTTGGCCTGGAGCAAGTCCCGAGGAGTGTTTGGGTTGACTCGAAGGAAAGTCCTTGAGGAAGGGAGCTCAAGAAGTTTTTGTCCGAAGTTTTTGATGAATTGAAGTCCTTTCTTTGAAACTAACGCGTTTTCCTTGTGGTGTTTGATTTTTCATCCGTCTCTTGGACGTGTTCAGGT